ATTGAGAGTTCAGACACTCACCACTCCTCCACCTGAAGTAAGGTACACCACACTAACCATTGTAAATACCACTCATTTTTTTTATTTGCGATTGTTTGCTTGATGTTTTTGAACTCTCCTTAGCATTTTTTTACACAGGCACTGTGTAATTTAAGTGTGGGGGAGGGTGTATGATGGACCGATGCTTGCATTTGCATTTGCATAATAGAATAGGAACCATCAATCATGATTTCATAGCATCTAAGGCATAGAAAAAACCAAAAAAATTGAAAAATTTTCAAAAATTGCTTCATAAGAAGAGTTTGATTTTCATGCATTCTTATAGGATTTAGACTTCATGCATTCATATAGGACTAGCTTGCTTGTTTAAATTGGGAACTATGATAGTACATCTTTGTTAATGCTAGTGATTTATGAAAATGAAGCCCTTGTTTTTAATCCTTTGGTGCATTTGTTGTTGAACTAGAAATAAAGGCTGAACCACTTTTGGAATTTGCATTGTGTGAGCTTTGTTTGAGACTAAAGCATGCTTTGAAATGATTTCAACATTTGTTTAAGTGGAACCTAATTTCAATTCGCAATTATCATGCCTTATGCTTATGTGATTGATGTCATGGATAGTTTAAAATATTTGGATCTTCTTATTCTCTTTTGCCACTCTCTAAAAGATCCATTTAGATTTCCCCACCCTTAACTAAACCTTCTTTCAAGCCAAAACATTAATAGTGTGTGATTTGTGAGGCCTCTTCCTTCATGGTTGTTGCTTAGCAAAAAGTGTTGGGTTGGAACTACAAGGGGAGTACTTCCATTGTAGAACTAGCTCACTCTTGAGTTAGATAGGTTAAGAAGTTTTTGGGGAATGGTTTGGTGTTATCTTGAGTTTAGTTTTTAAGAGAGGCAAAGAAGAAAAGAAGTCAAGGTACAAAAGAAAAAGGAGTGTGACACAAGCAAAATGGTGGAAATGGTGATTCTAAACACAAAGAAAGAAGGTTCATATTCAAAGAAGAAAAGAAGATGCAAGAAGTACAAAGCCAGTAAATCAAAAAGCCAAAGGTGAATCATGCACCAGCATCACCAAATAAAGGAGCCAAACTCAAAAGAAGCAAATAACCACCACTTGAAGTTCAAAAGAAGAAGTGTCCTCCAAAGTGCTTGAGGAAGAAAAGTTTTTGGGTTTTAAAAAGGGTTTAAGTTCTTAAAAAAGGTAGCATAGGAGGGTCTTACAGTGCTTAGCTAGAGTTAGGAACACATCTTATAGATCTTGGGTAGATGGGAGTCTTCCTTTGTATGTGTAAGTTGTTCTTTGACCCTTAGCATTTTGCCAAAGCACAACCATGCTTTTTTTGAGAGAAACCATTAAACACCAAAACCAGTTTGTGAAGTGGGATCATTTTTATTCCACTAAGCCTTGTCCCTTACCAAGTGACACTTTCGCATTTGCATAAGCATGATTCACAGTTTGAGCATAATTGAATGTTAAAAAGGTTGTTTGATTTGATGAGCATGTGTAGGTTGATAGCTTAGTGATCATTCTTGTTTTGTGATGAAAGTGACTAAGTTTTTAAAGTATTTTTCCATCAAGTGCACTCTATAATTAGGAACATGAACTTCATTTTGATTTACTGTTAGCATTTTCAATGATATGAGTTCCCATTTAAAACCTCATCACCATGTTAAGTGTTTGTTTGCTTGAGAGCAAGCAAAAGCTAAGTGTGGGGGTGTTGATAGCTTGCTATTTTAGATCATTTTAGGCTGCATTTCATGCATCTTTTCCTATGTTTTTGCATTATAGTTTAGCATTTAGGTATCATTTGCACTTAGAATCAATATAGCATGCATTTAGCTTAGTATTGCATACATTTGCATACATGTGCATGTTTGTGGTGATTCTCAGGTGTTTTTGGAGTTTCTTGGAGCTAGGGAAGGGATGGAAGCAGCTCATGATCGCAGGAGATGTCAGAAATAGAGTTCTTGCAAAGTCTGGTCCATATCGAGCAAGCATATCGAGCAGAACACTCGTGGAGTGTGCTCGATGCAAGCAGCAGGACGAGAGGAGAAGGATCAGCACAAGGATTCCAAGCCGTTGGTCTGCATCGAGGACCAGCATCGAGGAAGGACGTCGATACACGCTGCACGGACCATATCAATGTCGCATATCGAGCAGAACATCGACCGTACGACCTCGATGCAACTCATCCGCATTGACCATTTGACTTTTGTTAACCTTATCTTGTCTTTTTAGGTTTTTTATGCTTCTTTTGGCTCCCTACTATAAAAAAGAAGCCACAGAACATTATCTTTATCAAGTTTTATTTTTTATCCAAGTTTAGCTTTCTCAAAAACACTCTCTAAACCTTAAAGGGCGATTTGTCTTAAAGATCTTCATCTTTAATAAAGTTTGCATATTTATGGTTTAATCTTGTCTTTAATCCTTTGTTCTTGCATCTTGGTAGTTTAGATTTATCATCTTTTGCATTTTAACCTCATCTAGTTATGTTTAACTCCAAATCAATGGGATTAAACATAATTAGTGAGTAGTCTTCCTTAGATTTAGGGTTCTAAGTAGGGAAGGTGGTAATTAAGATGTGATTAAGGGGTTATTAGGCTTGTTTAGTGGTTCTCTGTTATCTCATTCTCTTGCAAAGTGATCATTGTTGATAAAGCTTGCTCCTTTTGATTGAATATGGTTTGATAGATGCATATGTTTCACTTGATGTCTTGATATCTCTTCTCTAAGTACAGTTCGCTTATTTGGCTTGATAGTCTAGCTTGGTATATGTTTCATTTGTTCAGTGACACCAAAGTGATAGTTCACCTTGCTAGATGATTCGCTTAGAGCTAGATAATACTGGTTTTGAGATTCTTGACTTGATGGTTAGATAATATGCATTTAAAGATCTTGCTTTTGCTTCATTCTTGTTCATTGCTTAGCTTTGTTAGGATGTTGCAAGTTTGTGCTTAAATCCATAATCTTGATTGGCGTATAGCTGCTTAGGTCCTTATTGGTTCACAAGATTGATAAGTTGATCTGAATTCTTGCTTGGGTGAGAGAGTAGTTGCTTGATTGGTGCATCTCTTAGGCTAGAATGGTTTTGATCTTTATGCTCATGGTTGAAGGATACACCATCACAAGTGGGTTTGACACTTCGATCTTGTTGAATATGAATTACTTATTGACGCCAAGTGGTTCTCTTTAGATACCTTGTCTAGGAGCATAACATTGAGAATTGCTTGCTTATTAATGTTTGTTGATTGCCTTAGAAAGAAATCCCCTTGTCACTCTTGAAAACCACAATCCCACAATTGCTTAAAACCTTGAGTCTTGCTTTTAATTAATTATCTTCAAAGTCATCTTGTTTAGTTCTTATTTTGGTAGTTATTTCTTGCTTAAATTCCTGTTTAGTCATTGCTTTAAGTTCATTGCTTAGTTCTATTCACTTGCATTTAGTTTATGCTTTTCTTTCATTGCACCATTAGATTGTTAGACTTGTTCTCACATAATCAAACCCTAATCTTGCTTAGCTTACAACATTGTTTGCATCTCATCTCCCACAATTGGATTGATACCTGATCTCTATTTTACAAATGATTTGAAGCAAAAAAAATTTGATCTAATGACCAAAAACGACTGTTCCAAGAGGATAACCATTTCGTATAATAACATGCCAGTTACTGAGAACACAAACGACCAATACATCACCATGATAACACCACATATCATTGAACTCAATCGCTACATCCCCATGTGCATAACAATCTAGCTCACATTCAGTATAAATAATTAGTACAAATTGTTACTAAATTCGAACATATTAATTAATAAATATCTAATTAAGTCTCACGTTTCATCTCTTAAAATAAACTTGATCTTTGCCGTCATCTTTGATTCAAAGGCATCAAATGATCGATCTTGAGCTATCTCAAGATCGCCAACACTATCTATTACACCTACCAAATCTGTATATATTTAAACAATCCCAATTTAGTAGATATATGAGTTTGTAGCATTTGAAAGATTAATTTAGAGATATTACAGTGGACATACCAATTGGACATGTTTTCTGAAAATTACCAATGTAAAGATCCTCGAAACTTAGAAATTTCAAGTGTGGATAATCACCCCTATAAAAATCGCCTGTTTTGAAATCATCCAAGACCCTACTGTTAGATTCAAATTCAATTTTCCTACTATTTGCGGTCATCTGTCTTGGAGATCTCGCAAATACAACTTTGAAATTTTTGATAATATTCTATTGTCCTTCCTCATGAAACTTCTTTAAAAAATACGGAATCAATTCCTTAGTCGATACATATGCTTGTATTTTTGAAGTCTAGAGCTCAACAATAAAGATGATATATCAAATAAATAGTAAAGCAGAAAACTGCGAGACAAAAATAAAAGAATGCCAAAACCTCACATGAACATCAAGTAGAATGAAATGCAGAACATCAACACCGCTTGGAATCAACTCAACCCACCTCTTATAAATCCTCACTCTGATCTTCCAATCTGGCCTGGCAGACCTCAAATCACTTATTTTAGAAATTCTAAACATAACAAAAACAAAAGAGAGGTTGCAATTTACCCTAAAATTGTACCCTCTGAATGTTTTCCGTCTTATAAATTTTAATAAGTTGATAACTCAGAAGATAATTACTAGTAAAGACTGGATACCATTAATTGGTTATTTTGTATGCAAATAATTGCAAAACCTAATAATGACGAAACTAAGAATCAATGATCAGAGTCAAAGACGATCCACTTTTCACTGTGTTGACAGTTATCCTTTTTTGAAAGTCGTTTTTCTTGTTTTATGTTCGTATAACATATAAATTTAAAATTATACATCAGATACTCTCAGCTAATTTTAAAATTTTATATCACATATAAAGATTAGATCTCTGTCCAAAAGCCCAAAACCATGGATAGTATTTATAAGATACAGATCGGTCTGATTTAACCAAATCCTAATCAAAACTTGATGCTATTATGGTATTTTCGAATTAATAACCTATTAGAATATAGACATACCGAATTTATAACACATGCTAGAAGTTTTAAGTTTGATCATACAAAAAACACTCGAAATAACATACAAATAGAATAATAAGGTTTATTATACAATACAGATTAAAAATTAACCAAGTTTTTTAAACACGATAATAAACTCAAAACTATCAACGGAAACACCATCTCAAACCGGCCACATGCGATAGCAAACTATCCCAAGCTCTAATGATCATTAAGCTTCAAGTACCTACAACAACGCAAACACAAAAATTAAAAGATTATACAGAAAATGACAAACAATAAACGTAAAAATTATAAAACTACTATCTTCGACTTAAACTTGAGGACATCATCGCTCTTAAAATTAAAATTAAACTGCAAATATACAGGATAAGAGCGAAAAACACTCGAATGAACCTTATCACCTAACAACAAAAGCAAAACTGGTAACTCAAACGAAACAACTGAAAAATCCACCCCATTAACTGACTAATAAATTGACAAAAAATACATTGTGCCTTGGTGATTTGCCAGAATTTTAAAGCTATAATTGTTGGGGCATCTACTAAACGCTTGTACGAATTGTAGATATCTACAGCCAATGTCCCACGAGCAAAACAGGGAAGAAACCCATGCCTAATTTCATGTCAGAATAATAAGCAGAATAAAATCCAAAAATTCAAAATTTAAAAAGTAAAGAAATTATCAAACTTACATATTGTCCACCAGTTCTTACCAAAAAAAAAACATATTGTCCACCAGTTCGAATCTTAAATAATAAGGAAAATCTTCATAGGCTTCGAAACAATTTCAAGCAGTTCTCTTACACTGGGAACAACTCCAACAACATAACATCTGATTATCCAAATACAAAATCACATGGTACAATTCATATTGAATATTCACCAAATAAAGGATTCTGACAAAAAGAGAAACACTCACCAACCAAATATCGAGAGTCACAAGCACCCGTCAAGATATCATAGAAATTGATGCAATGAAGAGATGAGTAATTAGAAGATTCCCATGGAGTTTTAATAATTGTGTCGGGAAGAATCTCGATTCTGTTATCATAAAATCCAATTCGAACGTCTCCCACGACATCTTTGACATCAAACCAACTAATAGAATACCAATGACTTTCATGAACATCATCATTGATTTTTTTGACCAGATATGGCAACATAGTTGCCGATATCTTATAACCCTGGCAAAATTTTCCAAAAAATACATAAAAATAAAGTTCACTAAGAACATAAACTACGTTAATTTAAAAATTGACATGCAAAGTTAGGAGATGAAAAAAGTAAAACTAACCTTTGAATCACAAAAAAAAAACCATCTCCAGAGTTTTGCCGAGGAAGTTCTGTTTGATCCACATATGGATTAACTAGACAGAGATCATCAACTTTCTTTTACCTTTCTTCAACGCACCCAAATCGTCATTGGTTGTTAGTTAGCGATTTTTTCTAGTTTCTCAATCGCCACCGCTCTCTTGTAAAATCTTTACCTAATGTTGGTGAACAATAACTAAATAGATAAATAAAAAAGTGTGAGTTGGTAAATTCATTGTATCACAATATACATTTAAAATACAAAAAATCTACAATTTCTGAGAACGTAAAATTATTACAGCTAAGACATCAAAAATCTAGTCTCGATAGTATTTTTTATTCAGAGCAATTTTCTAATAATATGTATGTGAAATGAGCACATTTTCTAGCTTTCTTTAGCAAGAACCTAATCTCATCAAGATAAAGATAATCATGCCGACTTGTGTATTAAAGAAAAATCTTTAAGGATAATAGTAAATCTCTATAGAATAAGGAAAATGAGAAGTTTCCCTAAACAGAAAAAGAGAAATATTCCTAAATAAAAAAGGGAAACAAGGTCAAAGAAACCAACCTTGTCTTCTTATAAATAGAGAACTCCTCATAAGTTGAAGATCATCAAAAAACGGGATGAAACTCCCATCTAAAGCAATCACCAAACTACGAATGGCTTTATCCCTTTGCAAGGGTACGTAGGCAGCCTTTCTTAAAAGATCCAGCTATAACTTGATAAAAACTTTAAGTAGTTTATCTTTTCGATGACCTAATCTCTGAACTCTAATTTGATATTCTCCAAAACCCAAACCGTAAATTATTTAAACCTAGTGATGATTTTCTGGTTCAACAATTGTCACCGTCTGTGGAGAATAGAGAATGGTCAAACATGGAAAGCGGAGGTTCAAGACGGCAGCATCAATTCCAACGTTAGAAGTCACGCACTCTACCGCGAAGCAAATCACAAAACCATTCGCGGAGATAAGCTTTATTATGCTATCTAATTCATGCTTTGATATAATTCATGCTTCGCTCCCACTCAATCATTTTATGCTTTGATATAATTCATGCATCGCTCCCACTCAATGATTTTTCTTTCTCATACTATATTCTTGCTGGATTTTCTTCTGAAAAAGCAAAAAAAATATTGCCATGCTGTTCAATCGTTTGATTTAACAATCATCTCGTTAGTATTAAGAGATCTGCTCTAATAAACAATAGTTCATGCATCTTAATTATTGAAAATCTTAAAATCGCTTCGATTGTTTAGTATGCTATTACTATATGATTTACGATCATGCTATTAATTGTGCCTCATTACTGAGTTCACCGCATGCTTTAATTAAGTTTGGCTTAATACGTCATTATTTCAAGATCTCACTTTTCTCTAATTATGTTTATGAGTTCAACAGAGAGGAACAGCTAATCAACTCGAGTCAAAGCCGAACTCCAAACCTCGCAAAGTCAACGCCGAGCTCTTCATCTAATAGCACGTGAAGTTCGTTGAACGAATTTGCAAGAAGATTAGGCAGGTCTATAAAAAAATTATGATCATGGTGGGATGGTAGAAGAACCGGGCTGTGAATCAAGCCCCAAAACTCTGGCCAAGAGTTACCTCGGCGCGTCTTAGTCAACAACTTTGCATCACCAAACGAAGAAAGTCTTTAAAGACGTCATGTGACGAAGCTCAACACACGAGCTCCACTCTCTAAATCAAGCATGATTTACACCATACAACTTTCAACTAAGGCTCCAAGTCATAGAACAAGGAACAGAAAAATTAAAGCGATAGAGATGAACGAGCTCAGAAGCTCTGCAAAAAAAGAAAAAAGAAAAAAAATGGGAATGGCTTACTTTAAGTTCATCAAGCACATTCACAAAAGCAACAAAATCATGGCAGCATTAAACGTCATTGCTAATTCGCATAGCTTTGCCTTTAGAAGATATTAAAAATTTCCACCAAAAGAACGCCAATACCAAGATATTCAAGGCAACATCTCAGTCAAGCCGAGCAGGAAGTCTCTTCTCGAATGAGACCGCTACACAAGCAGAAGTACAAACAAAACTCCAGAAGAGAAAATAGAAGGGCTAGGCACCACCGAGTTAGCTCACGCTCAACTCACCAGCATGCCAGTTTGAACGCATCACCCAATCACGTAGAGGAGGCTACTTCGGAGACTGGCCGAAATCAAAGGAAACACCGGTTAAGTGCAAAGAAATTACCAACAGTACCATCATCAACGCAGCTATTCCGATCTACTTTCCGTTACCTATTCTGAGGCATATTCGACCTGTAAATCGGCTCGCAATTTGGCACGATATCACTGTAATAAAAATCAGTTTGAATACATCTTCTTCAAACAAACATGGGAGGCTCGTGTGTGTTCTACCACGATTATCGCTCCAACTGCGCCACAACTTCTGGCTTCACAACTTTTCCAGTCCACGTTCAGCTCAATCGCGAGTTCATAAACAAATTCTCAACACCATGCTCCAAAAAAAACAAGCTTTAAAGCTTCAACTTCAGTTCGGAATCTCAAAAGAAGAAGAAAGAATAGCTTGCATTCACGAGAAGATTGACCAAATCATCAACAACGCAACCCCAAGATCGAAAGTTCAGAAAAATCTAGCTTTCTCCACTCCCACTTCGGAAATCTCACAAGCTACAAGCTATATAAAAGAAAAAAGGAGTTCTCAGGCTCTAAAAAAAACACAGTGACAAACTTGTGATGAAAGAAACACAATCAGAAGAATGGAACGATCGATTCCCTTGCTCTTTCAATTAGATGATCCGGCCGAAGTCCGCTAAGAATGAATTTCTCATCGAAACCTATTGCAACAGCAAGACAACAACACCAGCTCGTAAATGAACTCCCGAAGCACCAAGAAAAATAAGCGGAAGTACGCTTCCATCACATAAGCATCATTCAAAGCGGGGCTTCAAGTCTCGCATCAAGGAAAAACGAGTTCCCAAACTCAGAATTTAAGCACATCGTCACATAATCGCACCAAGGTCGCCAACATCTTGGCACAAGAAAAAAAAGAGAACGCTTAAGCTAAAGCTCACGCTAATAATCTTTATTGGCTCACGACCTCGCACCAAGATTATTTTCAAAAACCCGATATGATCTCGGCATGAGATTAAAGCATCGCTCTATTTCAAGCATAAGTAACATGGAAGCACTAACTTCTACAACAGCGTTGTTGCCCAAATCCTCCGCATCGATCACTAAAAAGAAAAGTTTTCTAGTAAATATTTGATATCTATTTTCAAAATCGCGATTACTTCTATTCAGTCCAAATTCAAAAACATTGCTTTACTACTCGACATTGAAAAACCATCTTCAACTCGGCAAGAGTTCTTCTGCAGCAAAGCTATTCTATGCGAATGCATTTAATATAGTCAACGTTATGGCCAAACGTGTGACTTAAAACGTAAATAAATTATGTGGCTGATCACGACCCTTTGAAGCTTTGGTTCGATTTAATTATTTTCAAAGTGGATAAGATGAAAGCCGAGGACAATACTCGAACGACCCTTGATCATACCTTTTGGGCCGAAGTGAATCCTAAAAGCTTGGTATCCGATCTTGTTGTCGTTTGGTATAAGACGAGCAAATGAATCTCACCTCCAGCACCGGCCTCAAGAATGCCCCCGCATCGCAAGTCGAAAAGTCGACTTCGCAAATCTTTCGATGTTAAGAACCACCTCGTCAACAAGCGTTTAAGCATTATGTCTTTGAAAGACCATTACACGCTTTGAAAAGCATCTCTTTGCACATCTTTGAAAGATTGCCATGCTATCACTTCGATTGATTAATTTATCGAAGTCGACTAGATAAATTTATCACTTCATCTGATCTTTTTAGCAAATTATCTGGTTTAGTTATCTAAATCAGTTGCACAAATTTCAATGCAAAAAGCATTTTCGCCAAAGCAGCGCTGCATAATAAGAAAAGAAGAAATCTTTATTGAGACAGAAATTTTGGCATTTAAACATCCAACAAAGCACAACACTCAGCATCCGCCGAAGTGCGATATAAATCAAAGTCGCCGAAGTGCGATGTAAATCAAGACCAGCAATGACTTTCTTGAAGAACTATCCTTAACAAGCCAAGCTCGAATTATAGAAAACACTCTCGACAAACTGAGGCCTATTGCAAGATCAAACCAATTCTGCTTCATGAAGTCCGCCGAGCTGATTTGCAATCACCTCAACGAACTTGGGGGGGGGGGGGGGGGGGGGGGGGGGGGCCTAAGCCCATCAAGACTAGGATAATCACGCCGACTTATAGATTAAGGAAGAATATTTGAGGATAATGGTAAATTTCTATAGAATAAGGAAAATGAAAAGTTTTTCTAACCGGAAAAAAAGAAATATTTCTAAATGAAAAAGGGAAACGAGATCAAAGAAACCGACCTCGTCTTCTTCTAAATAGAGAGCTCCTCATAAATTGAAGATCATAAAAAAATGGGATGAAACTCCCATCTAAAGCAATCACCGAACTACGAATGGCTTGATCCCTTTGCAAGGGTACGTAGGCAGCCTTTCTTAAAAGGTCCAGCTATAACTTGATAAAAACTTCAAGTCCTATATCTTTTCGATGACCTAATCTCCGAGCTCCAATTCGATATTTTCCAAAACCAAAACCGTAAACTATTTAAACCTAGTGGTGATTTTCTGATTCAACAATGTGTATGATTTGCCATATCCGCAAAATTAATATTGTTAAAATTTGTTTATTACTTATTTAAAATAATATTCCTGATTATTTTATACGAACAAACATCCAATAAATACTTTTCATGTACAGTGATATTGAATTTATGAAAGAACAGCGCATATTTTCATTATCAGATCTGTACTGATACTAACTTTTTAAGCGATAGTAATACTGCAATTCTTAACAACATTGCAAAAGAAACACATGATTCGCGCGATCTAAATTTTTAGAACAGAATTAGGTCTTAAAATACAAATAAACACAAAAGATTATGTCACAAAATACAAATAAACGTAAAGGAGTCACGATGTTTAACTAAAGTAACATAAATCCAGATGTCTCCGCATTGAGAACCTAAAACGTATTTAAATACACAATTATTAGATTATATACCACACTATAAAGACACGAATAAAATCACTTACTTTTTTCTCAATTCCTTTGCATTGTGATTGTCGAGACTGAATGTAAATTGGGAGCATGAGGTATAGACACATGGTAGATACGAATGGACCTA